TATTTGAAGATGATTTGATCTTTGGAGCCGATGGAGATATATTAAAAGGAGTTATGACAGATGAAAGTAGAACCTCATTGCTAGAGATGAGGGAATATGACGTATCGTATTCAATGTGAGTGGCTATTGATCTTGATATTCTAGTAGCGTGGTGTGTCGTGAATTATGATCCGACAGCGCCGTGTCCACCGTCACATGTGAGACGATAAAAAAGGCGTGGTGTGTCGTGAATTATGATCCGACAGCGCCGTGTTCACCGTCACATGTGAGACGATAAAAAGAATTGGTAGATAAAGCGGAACCGGTAGTGTGCGCCTTTGATATTCAGTGTACCAAGGCACCATTTCAATGTCCAGATGCACAAGTAGACTAGGTTTACATGATCTTGTAACATGATGATAGCAGCGTGCTCGAAAATGACGATCAATTCTGTCGCTGGCTGTGTTCACCAAACTCGCTAGGCTTTGACCTCGGCGCTGCAAGCGATGGTGAATCGACTGATGGACAAATTGATCATACAAACTACTTGCAGAGCTTTGTCGTCTGGGTTCTCGGATCGTGTACGCTGACTTAGCCAAATTATTGTGTGCACAAAGAAGAAGTTAGTACGTGACGCGCAGATCTACCTTGACTTTGTCTTGCAAACTGTGCTGTCCAACGAGCTTTTCCAGGTGCTCAATTTTACTCCAAAGAAGTATTGCTCGAGTTTGTTCTTTTCGGATGCGGAAAACTACGGCTGCATTTTGCTGAAGAACGTGGTGCTAGAGGAGGAACAAGAGAAGGAAAGTGAACACGATGTGGAAGGCAGTGACAAGAAGAAGCCTTTGGAAATTGTGTCTCATTGGAACATTGCGAATTATTTGCCCCGCGGAGTTGACGAATATTTTCTTATCTTAGTAGGTCAATTCATCCGTCGGCGAGCAGAATTTCAGTACCGTGAGCATCGACGACTCAGTAAAGGTGACGATTACAAGCCAGCTCTGCTAAGGATACAGACAAGCAGCCTCTAGATGAGGACCAGAAACAATTGTCTCCACTTGCCAAATTCTCACAACGACTTGTGTCATCGTATTTCTCGGAGAAGATGCTGCAATTGGTTCCAGAAATATTAACATACAACATGGACCGAGACAGCTTTCCCGTGTTTTCTGGGTCGCATCTCGTCGTGAAGTCACCCGCGTTGGAGCTCATGAAGTTTGTGACTTCAGTGTTTGTGCTGTAGTTGAGCGTAGAGACCCAAGTTGGCAAGATGAGACGCACCCTGCTGAAGTTGTTGCGCATAAGCGAATTTTCTGACGAGGCGCAGTTTCGCAACCCGTCACTGTTATTCACAGTACAGGACGTCATCTGCCTCTGCTGCAACTTTTGTCGGTCCATTGATTTATGCCATGACCCTCAGCTGTTTAAGTGTAGCGCATCACGCTCAGATGATGATGACAGAGGCGAAGAATATGAAAAGGATGCGGACGCTTTCTCAGCTTGGCACTGTCCTCGAGCTACGCGGTGTACGACAAGACCGCATTCTGAACTGCGACTCGTTGAGATGATACAGGCGCAGTCGGTGGCGTACCAATTGCAGGATTGTACTGCCGTAAGTGCCATTTGCCAGCTGAGCGCCAAATGCGCGATTACTGCCCATGTTCAAAGACGTATACATTTATACCTGGTGCGTGAATCGCTGATGGAGACGCTGCGCCTAGTGATGCGCATTGCGCAACAAGACAAGTTTGCATGGCTCCTCGAAACTGTTGAGCGCCTGATGTGCGAGACGGCTCAGCTTGTACTTATGTATTAAGGAAGGTAAGATAGGGTGCAGCCGTTGCACGTGGTCCTTGTGACCTACGAGCCCATAATATGGACTGCGGACGTCTTGTTTGCCAGATTGCTCCTTGCCGCACTGCTTTGCCATCATTTGGTAACAAATGTGTCTGAGAAATCACACGAAATGATTGTTAGGATGGTTCTTTAGATAAAGAATCATCCTAACAATCATTTCAACAAGACGACTAGAGCGATCTAACGCATTGACAATTGCCAACGATGCCGCACAATAGTGTTCTGGCGTTTTTACTTGCAGCAACATAGTAACGTCTTCCTAGTTGATATCACGCACGGCAAACGCTACAAAGTAGTTGAACGTACGGCAGGAACGTGTGAGTAGACGGAGGAAGGAACTTTTGCTTCCGTTAGCGTGTTTTATAGTAAACACACCGATTCATGTGAGATAGACGTTGCTGTAGATACAATAGACCCACACATTTCGTAGCGTTTACGCGGAAAAGAACAACATCTTTGCGTAAACGCCACAAATTATATGGGCTCTTAACATATGTATGAACACCATGATGCAAACATTTGGATCGTGAGATGATACATACATATACGCTTCAAGTATTTTTGTCAACAAAGTGGATGCGCAAACACCATGGATGTTCGTCAGAGGATGGTCTACACTTGCACCTGAGGTATCTTCAATGACTGTGTTACTAGCATTATATGGTTAAAAGGGTACTACCTTCTCTAATCAACGACGTTATTATAGCAATAATTAGTTGAACAGACCGAGGCTTCTTTGACTTTGACTCCTAATGAGGTCCTACCTTCCAATTACACAAGTCTTACTCATAACTCGAGCTCTGCTTCAATTAGACCAAACGAAATGGGGCAAAAGTGGATCCCGTGGACGACAAGACGGCCCTTAACTTCAAGACTATTGACACAAAAGACGAGGAGGCGACCGCGGAAGAAGTAGAGGAGTCGGACGCGGAGAAGAAGAGGGGTCGCTTAAGAAAACCGCGGGAGAAAGAGGATTGTTTAGCGGTGTTGCAAGCAAGTTCTCGAATCTTGTGCATAGACAGACGCCCATGGCCCAATAAAGTCTTCCTCTGATTTAAAGTGGGCTAAGAGGGCTTTTGAAAAGGTGGAGAAAACCATTGGCGAGCCCGGACCGCCGGCTAAGATAACGGAGAGACAGTAAACAGATCTTAAGAATTATTATGAGAGCTAGCCTGACAACTGGAATAGAATGGCGGTTTTTTTTTCGCGGCTGCTGGTGGCTTGGGTTTTGTATTAATAATGTTTCATGGCCAACTCTATGCTTGTGTCTTAAAATATATTGACAGTGTGCACTTGTTGTATCAATTTTCCAATGGTTACGTTTGGATCTTGACGAGTATCGTTACTACCATAGTATTAATTATCCCTGCAGCTTTTTTGTCAGTGAGCAACACGCTCTCAATGTAACTTTGCTACAAACAATAATATAGCTGACATGTATTCGTATGTGAGGAAATATCTTTTCTTTATCATAAAACATGTCCACCGATCGTGATATGTATATTTTGTGCAGCTATTACGAATAGAGTGCTTTGCTTCCGTCTCGTTGTCGCGCAAACGCCTGATTTTGTTGTCGCTTTGTCAAGCCTGCTAAGCCGTGAGTTTTTATATGACAACTCGTCTACGCTACAATTCGGTTCAATAGCAAACTGCTTCAGGAAATACCCCACAAGGTGCAACTTGATATCAGTGAAAAGATAAACTTTGTCTTGCCGGTAACTTGAGCGAGTACTAGCACCATGGGAAACGTCAAAGCTATACAGGAAAAATTGAATCAGTCTTTACGACAGAACTGCATCACATGTATAACCGCAACAATGGGTATCTAGCTTGTGACTTGATGAAAGCCACGATGGCTGCAACCATGCGTAATGCTTTGGTGTTGACGAAAACTTGATTCACGTTACACCTTTCCTACGTGAGGAGCAAAAAGTGAGCTTACGATTTTTCCACATTTCCTACGTGGGTTACATACTTATCCAAAGAGCTAAGGCTCGTGCAGTACGCTTTTGAATCTACATTCCGTGATATAGTGTACCAAACGCTTTCCATAACCTGGGCGGCGAAAGGCGGGGGCTGTGCAACCAAAGCAACAACTTAATTGTAGCCAGGAAAGCCCAAAGGCCACGACGATAAATGTATTTGATCCTTTGCCCACCCCAATTCGTCATTTTTCTTTTCTTTCTTCCAGACATACCGGCAATTTAAGTGCCTTCCGACTTCTCAATTCTTCTAGGGCCTTAATGCTGCGACTGGTTGTGTGACAACCAACACAGGAAATTTCTGGCCGATATACATATACAAAGAAGCGCAGAACCTTTTCTTCCTCACAGCATGTTTGACTGCGCAGAGTGGTCTGTCTTTATCAAGTGCTTATGGTAAGATCTTTTTTCTTGGTCACACGAGTGCTGCATCATTGATGAACTTGCTACAAAAAGTCATCCCTATGCTCGAGCGTTTCTGAAATTTGGATGCACTACTTGTCCCCGTAGGAATTTATAAATCCTTTACGTAGCCTTCAAATTCAATCGTATCGCTTGGATGTTGATTCATTCAAGTTTATCAGCGTATCGTCAACTGAATGACTTTGATTGCAATTCTAGTCATGCGGCCGGCAACAAGCGCGTAGTAAAACATTAACCTCTAGACTTTTTTGAGCTTCCACACCATTTCCACTCAACGCTATCTTCCTGATCAAAATGGCGGCTAATTTACATACGCAAGGGCCTTAGTTTTCCCGTTCGACCTTTCAGCCATTGTTTCTTGCTTCATTTAAAAAAAGTGAAGGTAAAGCAGCGTAAAGATGCCATTGTTAGTGTATACGCAATGCTGGGAACGGCACAGCAACGTATAAAACAAATCTATGGTTTCTGTCCTCTATAATCCAATGAAGGGCTCTCATTTTCAGCGACTAGCTACTTAGCTACCGTATCTATACAAAAATACAGTATGCACACTCATAGCCAAAGCTGATCTGTTTACAGCACGCTGACTTCGTCGCGAGGGGTGCGGAAGCTCGATAAAGTGCCGTAAGCCATCGCCGAGAGCGGCGTCTTGCTCTCAAGCTCTTCCAGCTTCGCTTTCTTCTTACGCACAACGACGATCGCGGCAGCAGCCACGATCCCAACGAACGCGCCTAAACCCAACACAACGTACGGTGTGCTGCAGTCGTTACTCTTTTTGGACCTGTTGTTAATGTGCTGAACATCCTCTTCATTCGAATAAGTGTCTGGGGATGGAACTGCAATGGGCTGCACTACGTCATCCTTCGTGTAAATCGGCTGCTGCACTATGTCACTCGTTGTATTGCTGCGGGTAACATAATTCTGTACCCTCTCAACATTGGTCTTATGCACCTTGTCGTCGCCAGCCTTGACTTCCAAGCCCAAATCAACCGACTTGGAAGACAGGACGATGTTGTGCAGCTCCTGACTGGCCGAATCACCATAGCCTGTATTCAACAACGACGTCTGCTCTACATTTGAAGACAATGTCTGCTTCGAAAAAGGAGCAGAAGCCGGCATGGAAATCGACACCGGCGCTGAAATCGGCTCAACCGCTGTATTCGGCGCAGGAGGCGGTGCTGTAGTCGGCGCCGGAGGCGGTGCCGGTGCTGGTGCTGTAGTCGACGCTGGAGGCGGTGCCGTTGCTGTAGTCGACGCTAAAGGTGGTGCCGGCGCTGGAATCTGCGCTTGAGGCGGTATAGGTTCATACTGCGTAACCGCCGCATAACCACCACCTGAGCCACCGGGACAAAACGTCAGGTCGTAGTCTGTGGACAAAGGGCACGTGTGGGTCTTGGTATCGTCCTTGGGAAACTGGTAGGCGTCAGTGCATCCGTCATACATGCACGTCAATTCGACACAGCGAGCGCCATCCTGCGTATGCGGAGTGATCTGCATTGCGACGTTAAAGCCCACACCTCCCGTTAAGTCCTTGCAAGCCTGAAGGTTCGGACAGCACTCGGGCTATAGAGTTTACAAAGTGAAAATGACGGACATTAGCCGCCACAACGTAGAGAGATGACAAGGAACTTCACAACAACGTACGCCACTCATTTCACCCGTGGGGATAATGCTGATATCCATCCAGCACTTGCCACCCTCAGCGGAGAACTCGGCCACTAAGGAACAACAATGAGAATTATTAGACATCGCCGTAAGCAATTGGAAATGGCAAGAAAAACGATCGCAATAAAACCTACAAGTAGCTTGAGCTCCCGTGCCTGACTTGAACACGTGCGAGCCAGTACCAGCCGCAAACGACTTGATAATGGTACCACCAGCGGCTACTTGATCCGTTGATACGCCACCAGGCGTCACGTGAGCCAACGTTATACTTTCCGTGCATTCGTTGGTCACGTAAATGTTAATGCCTTGAGCAACACTCTCGAGTAGCGCAAGCCCTACAAGGGCACACGAAATTGTTTGTCGGACCATTTGGTACGCCGTTGATGTGTTCAAGTGGTGATACGCTTGTATAAATCTTGTTAACGAGATACAAGAGCGTGAGGGAAAATTGCTTAATGAAAAAATTCACGAAGAACGCAACAACTTGTAGACAATCTTTCTCTCTCTCTTACGATTAAATGACATCAGGAGTCACTTCCAGCTGGATCAAAAGAGTCAGTAAGGAATAGTACGCTGAAGACGCCAGTTTAGAAAACCGATTACATCCAACACATGTGTACTTTGTATTGTACGCTTTCTCGTGCACACAACTCATTTTTTGCTACAGCGAGCTAGCACGAGCCACAAATCTGTGCGACCAGAGCAAAGGCTATCAAGTTGTTTGATTGCAAAGCACGTAACTGCAACTGTTACTAGCATATATCTGGTAAAGTATAAACCTTGCAAAACCCATCGAGACGGAAGCGTTTAAATTGGGACACAAATAGCATGCATCGGTCATATCGCTGTATTTAAAAACAACATACTAGATCTCTTCGATGTCTGCATTTTCTTCACTACCTTTGCTTGACACAATGGGGTCTGGAATCACAGTTTTGATCTCAGAATTTATGTTTCCTCAAATTGAAAAGTCACTATGAATTATAGTCAAGACCTTCTCAACAACTGGGACCAGGGCATTCTTCCTACTGTTGCGGCAGACTTTACATTAGTAATGCCTTTTATCTCGCTTCCATCTGTCCCGTAAAGTCGCATCTTCAAGGGTCGTCGACACTTCGTGATGTGCATGCATAAGTTGCACTTGGTCATATAACATGTACATGCTCACATGTTTGGGATCTTGTAAGTAACTGAGAAAACGTTTTGGCTTACCTTGAATCTTGGCATACGAGTGTTCATGTGATGTTAGGATAAGATTGACACTAACTTTTGTGGTCACTCCAAGCTGAATAAATTTTGTCATGAAAAACTATAGAGATTACTTGAGCATCTGACAGGTCAAGCTCCTTGCAGAAATGCTGCAGTGATGCTCTATTGCACCGTGGAAAGCCACGCAAGTGGCCATTGGACTTTCCCAAAAACGTAGATGTAACTATTATGGAAGGTATACTTGCAGCAAGAGCGCCTCGATTCGACACAAACGATTATATTAAGCTTTTTATAGGTGAAAAGTCTGGGAAATGCTGCACCGAGACTTTGCTTAGAATCATGTGAGAACAAAGAGCTTGAGGTTTTGAAGCTTGTCAAGCGATAACATCTTATTGAACAGGGAATTCATACCTAGCGATAGCGAGATATGAGAATAACCAAGACGGCAGACGCCAGAGTTGTTAGAAATATACGCTGGAAAATTGGTGAATCAAGCAAAGACATATCTTGAACATATCGTTTGGGAGTATCGGTTGCTGCACTTCTTCCTGATGGTACTGTGACGCCAAAGTGCATTTTCTTTGCTGCATTATCATATGAAATGTTTCGTGTAGTGTTTGCTTTGTTGCTCTGACTATTTTTCAAGACTTAACTGCTAAAAACAGCCTCTGCTAATACTCGATGATTTTGCTATGTCATCACGGTAACGATCATTAGTAACAGCCGCATCCAACGCATTAGTTTCTACACCATCTAACTATGTCCCGTACAAAGTGTTTGCCTTTTGCTGAGCTTCTGACCAACATCTTCACATGTGACGCCCCTACCATTTGTTCCCTATATGTAACACAAGTCTTAACTTCCTAGCAGCCGACTTATATTCTTCTGTAGCGCCCATCATGTTTTCTCGCAATCACGACAAAGGCTTTGAGGTATTTGGGTAAAAAAGCTCAAGCGTGATGACAAATGTAGATCAAAGAATCAACATCTACAAGAACCTCATGCCTAATTACAATTCTCTTGCGTATCAGAATTTACGTCATACTGTGTTCAGACTGTAACTCGTTGTGGTTCACACTCGGAAAATTCGAGGAGCAACAGAGCACGTGTGTTGTGAGCAGCATCATCTCAGCGATGTTTTTAGGGTAGTAGACAATGTCTAAATAACAATATCCTCTGGATGCAGTGCAAGCTAATGTTGTTAAGCTTACATTCATGTTTGATACAATCTCAGTATTGACTGGTAGGAAAATGTCAAGCCTGTTCGGTTTTAGCCAATACCAACTAATCACTTCGGTGAGCACCGCGATTCGCTAATAACGAAGCCGCGTCACACGGCGACGTGGCGCATCTCAAGCCTTTACTACTGGACCACTCTCTGACCATGGCTTTAAAACACAAATCAGCATGGTACCACTCCCCTCAACATGCAATAGAGCAACTTCTGTCAAGTTGCCCTCATGCTTCCGCAAAAACAGATGATTGACAAGAGTGAAATACATACAAACATGCACATCATCATGGTCTGTGACGAAAGAATCGATCATCACGTACTTCCAAAATCATGACCTCCACTATAAACAGAAAACGATGGAGTGTCAGACTCTACTGCATATGATGATGCCCGTCTCATTAAATGTCAATGGGGGGTCAATCCGTTTTTATAATTGTCTTGAACTCACCGTACTTCTCATGTTTTTGACAATGTTTGAGTGGCAAGCAAGACATGGGCATGACAAAGTTAGTTACAACACTAAACTGCAACATTGTTCATTCTCCACCAACCTTACTACTTGAGCAGCTACAAATACTTTTCTCACTATCTGCAAACAGTTTCACCAGACCATATATCCATTCATCGTAGACCTCCATCTACCTAAGGGATTAGAATCATCTGCTCAAGAGTCTTTCATCAGCTCCAGCACAGCACTCAGCTCTTCACCAGTAAACTCAGGTGCCACAGGATTGCCTCCATAGCCTGGCTGTGCCTGAGCCTGAGTCTGCTGCGGACGAGACTCTTGTCGCCGCACATCGTGCGGCGATGAGCTCTCGTAGTGACGGTCTAAGTCTTCTTGTCGCATTGACTGCGTGTACAGCTCGTCTGACTTGCTCAAAAATGTCGTCGTCGTCGTCGTAGGCTGGTACGAGGTCACATGCACGTTGCTTTCACCACCACGAACATATGACGAGTATGAGACCTGGGCAGATGCACTTGAACCTGCTGAAGCGTACATAGGGCTGCTCGACGTAGCCATCTCATCCGAGCCAGCCGACGTTGCCGAGTCATAATAACGGTGTGAAGACAAGTGGGTCAGTGGGTGAAAAGATGAGCCTAGCAGACCACTATTCGGCATTCCCATCGTCTCCGACGGAAAAGCGCGTGTTGGGAATGGAAGTCGTGGCACAGCTTGAGACGATGTCCGATCGTCCAAAAACGTCTTAGCTGTCAATACCGAGGTTCCCGGCAACTGACGATAATCACTTTCTTCCCTTTGTTGTGGAATCTCCTTCTGCATCATCATTAGTGCATTCGAGTCATTTCCATATATTCGAGTCCGATCATCTTGATAAAAAGCTTCATTCATAATTGAATGTTGTACTACTTGCTGTGGAAACTCAACATGTCGTGGCTCTGTGTCAGACTGCATCGTGGCTAGAAACTTCATATTCTTCAAGCTCTTTCTACTTGTAACGTTGCTATTAGTCGCACTCATATTATTATTCTCGTCCAGCACATTATGTAAACCCCCTTCTGTCACACTACCATGCAATTTCTGATGTTGCACGTAATCCTTGTAATTATCACACGCCCATGAACACGTTTGTTCCGTACATCGAAAGAGATTCTGTTCATCTGGAAAATGAATCCGCATATGACGTTTGAGCTTCGTACTTGTATTAAATCGCTTGCCACACGTCTCAAAACAGCACGGATAGGGCCGCTCACCGCTATGAATGCGTTTATGGCGACTTAAATTGCCCGATGTATTAAAACGCTGTGAACAACCTTGAAAATCACAAGCGTATGGTTTTGTACCCGTATGAATACGCATATGACGTCGCAATGCAAAAGAACGGGGAAATTGCTTACCACAATGGACTTCTGGACATATAAACAGTTCACACTTGGTTTGTTTCGGGCTTTTATCGCACGAGATGGTAGATGTATACTCAAGTGACGGTGTTGAGAGAGAACATGGTGTTAGAATTGTCTTAGACTTGACGTCATGTGTGACAGTGGATGTCCAGGATTGATAGACACTTGATGACGTTGATGAAGGATATGAAGGATGAGCGACGGATACAAAAGACGCCTCTTCTTCATCCATTTGACGAAAAGCTGGAGGGAAAACGGGTTTAGAAGCGTAGGTTACAACGGGTTCTGTATTGTTAAGTGTTGATAATGGCGTCATTTACATGCGCATGTAAGAACTGTGTCGATTAATCCGACAATCAACAGTGGGACAAAGATTCAAGTACAACAAGAAGAAACAGAATGAATGTCAGCCTGTGGGGAAGAAGGATGGTCGGGGAATGATGATACTGATAGAGAACCGAATGAATGGGGGACCTTTCATTCAGCAACTAGCTTTTTGCGCCCTGTCGCTCTACTGTATCGGAGATGTAAACGGAAAAAGCAATGCAGGATGTCAGGTTATTTGATTAGGAGAGGTAAATCTGACACGATTGACTCTATTTTTTTGATTTTCCGGACCAGAAAAAAAACAACTACAAAAGAATAGAGAGAAATGGATGTTAATGTCACAAAAAGGACGCCATATGCGCGAGGCATCTATGTCCATATTACCCTTTTCAACAGGCACGAACATACCCATTTCATACGCGAATCCCGCAAAGTTTGAGTTGAATACTGATGCATGACGCAGTCACATTCGCGGTTGTCCGCAGTAATATGCAAAGAATAAAATGTTGGAAGCAGTCATGGACTACTGGTTTACGGTAAAATGCGTGAATCATTTCATTTCAAGTAGTCAAGAGAGTGGACAGAGTGGCTGTTTTGATGCGCACAATCGAGACACCTTGGACTACAACGTATAAATGATATTGTATTCCTCTTCGTTTTGAATCATACACTTGAGGCAACTCTAAAAAAAATGTCTGTGGTCAATCTTTGCTGCCGGATCTGCGTCAAACTTACAAATTATCTGTGCTGCATGCTATACAAATTGTATCATATATGATATGAATTGATACAACAGCAGACATTTTGTCGGAATTTGAGCTGAGCCCCATTCTTTATTTGTAGCTATAAGTCACAGCATATATTCCATTCGAGCACTCCCCACGTGGTATCAAACATTTTCCAGGTATGACGTGCATCGCGTATAGAAACAATTGGTGCGTGCATACTATCCAGTATAAGCTTGAAGGTGCTCGATCATGAATCTGCTTTCATTCCAGATGTTGTTAGAATCATTGAATAAATGATTTATAATGATGAGCCAAAGTTTTACCGTGACCCAATTATGTCTTCATTTGCTCCTGCGCCTGGTTATGCGGAAGAAAACTACCCAAAAAGCGTCCACTGAACGGGTACAAGGTGTTCACAATCGTTTGACATCCGAATCCGCATCAATTCTTGATGATGTGACTGGATACTTAGCTTCTGTCCAGCCAAGCATTTAATCAGCCAGCAAGTTGCTAGTGACTTGGTCGGGTAGAACCGCACTCTTTGAAAAATGATTGACACCTATCAACGACCTGGTGTCAATGCAGATTAAAATAAGTTAGTCATACATGTCAAGGGAAAAGCTGCTTCTTTTTTCGGTATGCCGAGATTGGCTTATTTTTTGTATAGAAATGTCCACATATTAATGCTCGACGAGAGATGTCTGTCTCCAGATACATGGCTACACTTTTGCTTTGATAGGAAAGCAAACAACTAATGTTACCAGGAGGATGGTGCAGTTGCATGTTAACACACCACCAGAACGGCTTTTTACCACGTGAAAAAACGTCAATTTGAAGCATGCATTATTCCGACAGATACGTCGAATTAAATCCTGTGAAGCAGTTACAACGTTAGCATATAATTCCATATTATGTAACGAATCGTCGTTACGGCTCAAGACGACGAGTGAGAGCTTACTGAGATGTAGAAGTCATTAAAGGAAGAAAAGCTTAGATAGCTGATATGGCCAGTGCACTTCTACGTGACGAGGAAGTAGTCGTCATACCGCGCTCTCGTAGATTGAAGCATTGCTGACGCGAATACGATGAAGAAAATTAATCGTCAAACATTGAAATGAGGCTGAGAAAATGACGACGATGCTACTCATTGCAATTTCAGCCTTTCATATTGATTTATTCATAGCCGTGTACAACATAGTTACGTCGGCAATGATCGAGCTAGCAGTCAAACTGCGGTCTAGTGGGTTCACACATATCTGCTCAGCACCTGTCGGATGGCAGCACTAACACTACCGTGAGTAATATTAATGATGACAAACTTTATTGCCACATCAAACAACGCCGTGGTCGCTCAGTCGTTAAGTCAACAGAACATCGAATGTCAGTACTAGAGCTCGTCACCGCAGCAGCAACAGTATTTACATCAGAGCAGACAAGCATTTTACACCAGCGTCTGTCTCAGGATCTGGAGTGAATCGCACACGGCGTCAATATTCACCCAATGATCGGAGAAAGGAACATGTTGCTTATATATCGGCACTTGCAGTGATCATCCTTGGTTTGATCTGCTGGTATTGTATCTGTTTCCTGTGTTCTTGCCATACTCTCGTGGCTGAATCGGTGACAACTATCGACATGTTTCGTACCTGGTGATATGTCTTCTGTCTTACCAACGTAGTTACACCTTTATTGTCTTTCATACGTGTGCTGCTGTCATTTGCTCGTGACTCCTTTCCTTCGGCATGGAGTTTAAGTTATGTGTGCTCATGCTTAACGCCAGGTACTCCTCCAACCCTCAAAGCTACGCTAGTACTTAGAATTACAACGACAGACGCGGTCCGAGTCAATACCATGATCCCCGAATTAGATTCGTGGTTATAAATTTCTATCAATGTGCTTTGTGAACGCTGATCGTCATGTGGTTTCCGCAATCAACGATCTTCTGTTCCCGCGTGGTCGCCCTTTGATTGAGTCGACTGATGACGTCTCTTTGTAGTCCGTCTGCTTGATCGTCAGCCGAAAGAGCAGTAGCAATTAATCACTACTCAGGACTGAACATCCCTTACCCAACTACTTTGAACGTGAACACGCTTTGCCAGTGCAGTGCTGATCTATTCAATTCTCATGTTGGTTTTGTGGTCACGACCGTGTCGTCACAGTACGCGCGTATGTCCATCTAAACGCACTTGTTTGTCCCTCGATTGCAGAATTCAGTGGTCATGAATACGCAAGACTGGTCTTGTGTTACGCACTACCTGCTTCCTTCTTAGGGCCCAGACGGCCTCTGCAGCCATGTAGACTTCTGTCCTGTAGTCGTCCAGGAAGATGTAGCCAATTAGTCATGTTTGCATTGCCATTGTCACCGACAACTTTTGTATAAATTTCATGTTCAGGACAGGCAAGTAGGTCTTGTAGAAAACCACACTAAGCTATTATTTGAAAGATCCTAAAAGTACATGAGCAATTAAATGGAAGCACTTGAAACGGCATGTTTGAAACTGTTAAAGACTTCTGAGCTTGAAGTTCCTCGGCTGGAAGCAACCGTCTATATCTGCTGCACCCGTCAAGGTGTCTAAGGTATAAATGTCGATAGCTTGGGACACAAATACGTCACCTATCAATATTGCTTGAAGCTGAAGACGTGCCGATGGATGGTATGAGAAGACGATGGAATCACAATCCTATTTCTATCTCTAGCAGCCTTGGCATCTACACGCAAGCAGTAGCATTTTCCATCCAAACCGAGGCTGATCTAGACATTTACACATACTTCATACACTTTCTTCAATCATTTACACGGATAACAAACACATCGCGCTTCTTTCGCATCAAGTTATTTCATCTAGAAAACACCGAGATGCTTGAGGCGACAGCATCAAACTCAATGATATAGTCGGAGCATTGCAACTTGTTAATACAGTTGCAGCAATCGATACGTCAAAAAAAGCGCAGCGAGGACATGCCGATCCGTCTCGCGATTGACAGTCACATCAGCTTTCTGCAGACGAGTAGCAGTTGAGTTGTTTTTGCGAATTCACTAAACAGTATCAGCGTTGCCAATCAGAACCTTCGGTGGTGGTGTCCGCGCTTCTTTTTGGTCGTTTGGTCGGCTGTCGTCACCTTGAGTCGCCTGTAAGCAGTTCGTTTGGTAATTTCTTACAGTCGTCGATGCCCTTAGCAATGCGCACTACGCGCGCGACCACGGGAGGGGGAGAATACTCCTATTGATTGTTATACATTGATTGCATCAGATCGAGGTGATGGTCAGTCAGCCACCTCACAGAATTCTTTGAATTCAATTGGTCATTCCATGAGTACTTCATCTGAGCACGAAGATTAGTAATATTTAACATCTGTTTGCTTGATCACAGAGCCGAAAATCTGACAAAATAAACATGTCTGTCCTTTTTGTTTCCGCTGCTTATCTAACCAATGGATGTATACGCAATAATACATCAGAATTGGGACACGTCTGCTTTCCCGTCATCCTATTATCTTTCCCATGATCACGGACGGCCGGCTGACCCAAAAATGATCGTCTCCGTATGGGTGGGACATCCAGATGGCAGCATTACACGCACGCCCGTTTGCCAATGCAGCTCTTCGTGCTTCCTCTATCGGCGAAAGTGGGAGAATGATTACTGGCGCACTGAACCCGTACCTGGACGCATAACGAAGCTAACGACGCACCGAGAGGGCTCAAAATCTGATACGTCTTTATGTCGTCAGGTTTGCGCTAGACTCGGCGTTCCAGCATCCAGGTCACGGGACCAGCTAGGTATGCTGGCGCCGTGTTAAATTGTTTGCACGCGGTGCCCATGCGCCGCAATCAGTCGGTCGAATCAAGTATGCGACCCTTTGACATTCCAACAAACAATCGCTGACTCTAACTTCATTATATGCACACCGATCACATGTAGACGATACAAGAACATTCCTTATGTTCAATCTTGATTTGATGCAAACGGTATCGTCTATCCTTTTGTCCGGCCTATCGTGTAGCTTTGAAACTGATCGTCTTGCGCCTTAGCTAAAGCTTGCCTACTATCGAGAGGTCATGAAGCATGTACATTATGCGAACTGCATGTGAAAAAAATAAGCCACAACATTAGTTGCGAGAACATTGGCTTCAATCCTCTTTTTCCTACATGGTACTGTTTCGGAGTCTGATCACGTAGGAATGTCAGCATGAACAAGGTATTGGACGTCCATTGAGCACGTTTCTGGGCTTAACGCTGTAGTAACGCTGTAGTAGATATACCTCACCACGTCATTACAGTTGTTCATCTTCACGTACCCTACTGTGATTTGTATTGCTATGGCCAACCATAGCGTTGAAAAATTTCACTGTTGTTGCTTCGTCAATATGGCGTTATCTGGCGAATTCAACTACTCTCGGTGAGGTGTCTTGCGACGAAAATCGAAATTTTAAGATATGCCTGTTTGTTGATCGGCAGGCGCCACAACTCACGATACATTGCACAAGCAACACCCTGTGGTACTACAACCATGAGAACCGCTAGCAATAGCCAGACCGTGATTCCCGTAGATGGTGATGAAATCCACTACTTACTAGGTAGAGGATTGTATGTTGTACAGCAGCGACTCTGTTCTGTAGACCTGTCAAGTCAAAGTGTCAACTCGTTTTGCACAGCTAGCCGATCGTTCTAGCCTGCACTTTAGGCTGCAAAAAAACTGGACATGCGCTGCTCACCAGATGCTTCTGGCTGAGCGTAATCAGACAAGACAGTCTCCGTCAGCCGTTCTTGCCTGTCCAAAACGGGCTGTATCACTTTCACTTTTGCCGCACAAACCACATTAGCTCGCATTCAAGCAGTAGAGCATCCCAATCGCAGCAGACCATGTCACACGTAGCAACAACGCAGCAAGGGCAATGTCATGCCCAGGACGTCGGCGACGGCAACCCCGTGAAAGAGGTAGCACCATTTCTACGCAGTCTTCGCCGCATGCTAGACACCGAGAGCCCATACATTGTGCGGTGGACACCCGACGGCAATGCCTTTGAAATTTACGACATGGCCGCCATGACAAACTACGTGCTCCCCAAGTACTTTAAGCACCACAAGTACGCCAGTTTTCAGCGCCAGCTCAACTACTTTCACTTTCGCAAATGGACCAAGTCACGCGCGGTCGTGTGCACTTTCTCCAACCAGTTCTTCCAGAGAGACCAGCCGTCTTTAACATGGCGTATCACTCGCAAGCGCTCGCTGTCTCAAACAAAGGACTTGACTTCACGTAGTAATGTCCTCAAGCATGAATGTCGAGCTCCGTTGGCTTTGCCCACACCTGGTCACTTACACTCCAAGCAGATTGACTCTGTATTAACAATGCAAACGACAGCTCAGCGGGAGATGGTCGATGAAGACGTTTCGTTGGCTTGGATCGACCTCTTATATCCAGAGCTAGACCTGGCTTTGCTGGACGACAATGGTCCAAGCAATACCGATTACATGTTTTCGTCAAGGCTGCTCTCACTTTAGGAGGTTTTGCAGTTGAATTTTTATTTAGCAGCGACGAGGGCAGTTAGCACACGTCGATTGTTTCGACTACATCCTCCGCTAAATGCACCGTGTTTGAAAGGAATAGTACATGTATTAATACAACAAAATTACACAATCAGTTGCAGTGGCTTATGACGTAGCATGTCAGGGTACAATGTATTAAGCGTGCTAGTGATACTTCTATGTTTACAAAAAGCTGAGCACTTTACGAAAGCATGAAAAAAGCCGTGGTACTAACTTACGTGCTCTTGCTGTGACTTACGCGCGTCGCCCGTGCACACATCACTCTAATACATGGATTACGGAGTATTTTGTACGTAGAAATGGGCAGGCCTTGCGATCAAAGCGGCTTAGTGCGTTTGATTTGTCTCGTCACGTTTTCTGCCTTGACAAAAAAGCGTGTGACACTGTTGCTCGCACACGAAGATGATAATGGACCTTTTCAAGTACAAAAAGACTCATATTAACTTTCACCTTTGCATTATTCGTGACTAAACAACAGATCAAGCACATGTTGCAAAATCTGTCGCTAAATCTGAAAGCGCTATCCCTCGGTACAAACCTCTACTAACTTTTTTTGCGACTGACACAGAAATTTTGATGCTATCTGTCGCAAGGGGTGGCTCAGGGTATCTACTGCGCCGTCACGTCCTTTCTCGCAGTGGCGTCATTGAAAATGTACGATAGGCTATCATTCATAGATACGGTCGTTGTCTGTGGTGCGTACTCAGAGCCCAACAACGCAGAAGTGCCTTATAGCAAGGACCAAGCCGTCTCAGGACGGCAGTAATCAAGCACAACGAACAGCTGTCGGGCTCAGCCTTATCAATAGAAGGTTTTGCTGATTTGTAAGGCCTAAAACACTCTTTCACGCTGTTCAAACCTTATCGATAGACCAACTATAGTTTTTTTGTGTAGTGACCTCGTTTGATGATCCGATGCAGTGGCTCCATAGCCGAGTCGAGCATTTTTAGTGATTACTCGTTATCGCCGACCAGCGGCTTCTGGAAGTTGAAGTCGGACAGTTACCGTCGTATATATTTTGAAGGCCGAGCTGATTGTTATCAAGTACATAATGGAAAGATGTGAAGCTGCTTGCCTTCCATAACGGCAATTTATGATGAATTGCTTCAGGCACGTCAGCTTCTGAGTTAAGACAGGCTTGGTGGTACTGCTGGAGCTCCTCAGGCTCTCAATCATTACGCGTGATACGTCAGGCCAGACTAGTGATGCTAAAAGAATGAGATTGAGAAGGTACGCAAGCCTCGATTCCGTTGCGGAAGCTGACGAAGTTACGCTACTTCTGCACTTATTGAGCTTGAAGTTCTAAAGTAGCAAGTGCTGCATCAGTGGCCGTATTGTTTATCTCGAATGCTTGCGATTTAGTGTGGGCGAAGATTGCCGGATCCTTCGTTGCCAGGATCTGACTTAAGACTTTTGAGGAATAGCGGTGCCACCTCTCTGTTGTTGTCGTGTTTCCAGAGTTGTCCATCAACTGATATTAAATCTGATTTTTACGGCGCGTTTTCTGAGGCACTAAGACAATGTGAAGGCGTAACGTTTTCACGTGATCAAAGGCGGAAAGTTCTACGCTATTTGCTCAATGAGCTACAGTTGTAGGGTCCGAAAGCAAGAGAGGGAAATACGCAGTCTTGTATGACAAAGTGCAATCCTGCACTTACGTGCCGGTTCTCCGTCCTCGGTTATTCAATTGATCAGTCAGGCGGGCAGGGAGATATCGAGCTAATACGTGTGGTTGTGCGCTTTCTGCGTAAAACGGTGCAGGCTGATTTTGATTAACATGCGTGACTGTGCGCTTTTCTGCCTTTGACCGCGCCTGTGCGGATTGCTGGCGTCAGGATGGCATATACGTGTACACATTATTGTAGCCGCTGTGGCCTCAATGCAGCCACGTCACAACATTGAGCGAGTAATTTTGGGTATGCAGCGGTGTTTATCGAGGCAGTAATAACTCCGCAAATAGCAAACGACCGCTTAGTTTGTCCAAAAAGGTCGAAAAAATGGCTGACCTAGTGGTTCCTATCTAACTCGTATCAGGCTACAAATCTGGATACAAGCGTAAGGAACGCATGTTCCTGGACGGCCAAAAACTGGTGCTATTTGCGCATGTGTCCGCTGTTGAGATTGTCGCGGGCCCGCCTGCGGCAATACAATCCGGCCTGCTCGAGGAGATTGCTCGCTGGCGCCCTGATAACTCCGGGGCCAAACCGACAGTTATGCCATCGCCACCTGTCTGAAGGCCGGTCATGACAAAACTTCGATAACATGGCTGTTACTATCGGGTCCAGCAGAGCAGGAGGTTTTTGCTGCATTTGTGTGAATGATCTAGTTGCTAAGCCTGCTCTTGCCGCCATTAGGTCACGGTGCTGCTTCGTCGGATCGAGCTAACGTAGTGAGACTAATGCCATGCATTATCCTATCGTCGTCTTAACGACCAGCCTCCACTGCAGATCGGTGGCTAACTTGGTTGAGGCATGAGTGGCAGCTGTGGTCAGAAATCAGACCATGACAATACGATCAAGGCATTTAGCCCACGTAGCTTTCCACGCTTGTCGTGCGATATGCATCTATTTGTAAGAGGTGGATCATTTTTTTGAATTCAACAAATCCAATACAATGGTTCAATTGGCGTCTGATATTTCAGTACTTCTCGCCCTGCAAGAATGCTTGCTGTGTTTGTTATCTCCCACCACATTAGCGCTGCCGTTGACAAGCGTGACACCTCGAAATAATTTAGAATGATAGACATGAATGGATACATATTCGTTCATACAGGTTGTCTTTACGAAAGTATTGCGAGATCTAGAGGAGTGAGATGAAAGCGCTCTTTGCTGTTCATACCGGTCTCGCTGCGATACTGGGCAAATGACAATGTAATGTTTTCGTATTCAAGCCAGTCGGTTGAGTCTTTCCAAATCAAATTTTTGCGAGGGTTCGGATGCATTTTGGGCTCGTAAGTTTGTTTCGATTACGAGAAAGCTTCATGTCAAGCTTCATCATCCTTGAGTCATATGTTTGTTTACACTGAATCAACGAGCTTTCGGTTCTCTTCTATGTGAACTAGCCCTTCTTATGCTAAGTGAGTTAGAAAGCCAGTCAAATGATCTTGTTAGGCTTGGATAATTACTGGTAGTGACATACTGTACACGTTTACAAACCTACGCTGTGTTTAAGGATATTCCTTTTAGATGAAAAGGTATGTGTGGCTGGTATAGTACAAGCACTTTAAGCTGTGCTTCTTCCGTAAGTCTTGTCACTTTTGCTTCCTTCTCAATGAAAATACGGCAAACTGCTCGATTTTCAACACTAGTGGCCATTGCACTGTTGACGTTTGCGGTGACTAGTCCAGTCATCTCAGCTGCAAAGTGCTCCGTCTCATGGTTAAAGAAACAGCCTATTCCTGTTCCTGTGACCACGACTGCGCCGGAAGATGCAGCAGCAATGGACCATGTTCAGGACATGCTAAACGTCGCCCAGAACAGTGCTGAGGATAATGTCAAGTCGAACGGTTTGGGCGAAGGTGGTTCGACCAATGAACCAACTGGACCAGTCAAATCTACTCCGTCTACATCTTTAATCGAACACGCTACTTTTGGTAACATCATATCAGCTAGCGGCGAATGTGTCATTGGCAACCCAAACGCGCAGCTTCTTCGTGATGATATCGATTGGGTGTGGACGAATACGATGAGTAAATACATTGTGGGGTTTTCGAACCTTATCTTCGACCAGCTTGTGACTAACAATGGCTCACTTAGCTATTGTGTGCGGTGGGATACCGATAAAAAGTTGACAAAAATAATGGCTTCTAAGTTTCAGGCCATACTCGAAAAGCAGATTAACCTGTGGAACAGTTGGCTGGTTGGATATGATTGCTGGCCGTTTGACAAGATCGATATTACCGTCGTAGCCTTTGCCGTCCGGGACAAATCTATCATGGACTGGAGTGACGACTCACTGGGCATGATCTACGAGGGAATTCTAGACGATGCAGGCAGTCCAATGTGTCCCGATGAATGCTACAAGCACAAAGGACAGGCTGCTAGTGCAGACACAAGCGCGTGCAAGGGCAAACCCTTTGACATGTCATTTTGGCCGTCTACAATGCCGGATAAAGACGCCAGTGGCATGGGCGGTGACTGGGGTCAGCGCGTGGAGGTGAATCACATATTGGACTCTATGAATGATGACCATATGATGGTTTTGCTGCATGAGATCGGACACGGCTTTGGTTTACCAGAGATGTACTTGGCTGAAAACAAGCCCAGTGGATATCCTCCTTGTGTAATGGATGACGGTATGACGCTTACGGATGGTGACGGCTGGCTTTTGCGAAAAACTTGGGAAATGATCAAGTTTCGCTATGCTAAATAGTTGTGAAACACATACAGCGATCGAAGCTGATTGTGTGTTTGGAATGTAAGATGTTGCATTGGTTTCGTTAGTACTGTTTGATTCGTGTCAAAGACTGAAGCTTTCTCGAAGTGTTGAAAGGAAGAAACAGGATGTCAGATCATAAAAATACTAGCTCAAAACTAAAGATATCGGTAAATCGTGGTATATATATGTGAAAACTTAAATCACGGATTATCCAACAACCATGAGATATTAAATTGTACAATTTCGTTCCCTCCTATCTAACAAAAGAATAGAAGACCACGTATTTGTCAAATTGTTGATCTCACTTTTTCACGATCTCAAATATCCAGTTCGAAAAGTGGGCTAGACATTGTTTTAACGCATATAAGCAGCAAAAATCGCTTTTACACGTTTTTTTAGCAAATCGAAACTCTTTCAAGACTTTGTCTTGTCAAAAAACACTTGTGGCTTAGAAATATCAAACCCATTTCTAAAATAACCATCACAAAAAGATGACGACGAGTCTCAACAAGTGTCTAAAGCTTCACAAGCTCTTTGTGGCTGAGGTTTGACACCTCAAACGCTCAACTTGACAATTCGTTGATCCTTTTCACTAACCGTTTTCTTTGCTTTGTCTCTTATTTTGAATCCATTTGCTGGTTCATTGATACAAACGACTGGTGCAGGTGACGCGTAGCTCTCGACTCGAGTCAGAAGGGTCTCAAGTACTTTCGTCACTCGCAAATGTTAGTCAACGGATACCAAGGTTGTTGCAATATAGCAATACTAACCACCATGACAATGAGACCTCCAATGACAATGTGGAGATGATGGGCGTGTTAAGTTACTGCAACAACACCCAAGCGTTGTTGCTTCAGAAACACTTTTTATCGTTGGAAAAGAGCCGAACGTTCTTGATTGATATCATGCGCGAGTACCAAGAGGTCTTACGTCATCTTCGATCGTTTGCAAGCGAGTGTATGACACTTGTGGATCATGCATTCATTGAAAGTGAAAGTACAGTCAATGGTGACGATGAAATGACAAGTGTGACGTTTCCACTGCAATTGCAAGAATGGATGGAGACGGTGGTGGCAATGTTTGAGCATGAAGTGATACGGAAAATAACACTTGTGACGGATTTGGAGTACAGTGATTCAAAAAGGTTGAATGATGTCCAGAAGCAGTGGAGTTCCAAGGGAGTTATGGGTAACATCGACAATGATTATGGTACGGAACTTTCGGCTTTTGTTGATCAAAACAAGGTGTAACTGATGATGTGAGCAGTGCAAACAGGTCTACGAATGCCACAAGCAAGGAGTTCCAATGCTTTGCAGTCTGGTGGTTTGGAATCATCAGACGCTTCCAAGAGCAAGAAGAAGAAGAAAAAGAAGAGCAAGGCTAGAAAATGAAAGTTTTGCACCGTGTTGTACCCATGCATACGACTTTGTATAGCTGCAGCTCGATGTATCGTATTGACGTACTGCTTCTTAGAGCAACCTTCAAGTTATATCAGCGAGGAATGCTCATCTTGACACCAAGCAGCCCTTGCTTATCGTAACATAAGTAAGGCTATTCTGCCTTGCTCACCTCGTCGTGAACAGACATAAGAATTATTTTTTGGACATGGTAAGGATGATCAAAAGCTGTGGCAATTGCGTGGCAGCAAATACAGATTTGCTGATATTTGTCGAAAACCTATACGTGAGAGCTAAGGTTCTCGATATTGAAGTTTCATGCGATCTCTATGGCAATGCGTCGATACATACATTGGTTAAACGGATAGAATGGCATTTGAGACGCGAAGATGCTGTGTCATGTCAACATGGTACCTAACGGTTGTACAATCAAACAACCCTGTATATTGTATACATTAACTTGAAAGGTTTGGATCTGTGAAACCCAGCACTGCAAAGCTCACACTTGACCAGCCAACATGGTATGCAAGCCAGCCTAAGACTTGACATCCGTTTGATGCCGTGTTGCGGTAACGGCTCATCGGTCAGATGAATGACTTGAGTTGTCTACATGTAGATGTTTTGCATCGATGAAGTGATGAAAGATCGACGCAATGGAACATCAACATATGTAATCTTGACAACTTTGGATGCATCGGTTGATGAGTAGATACAATTTCCTACTCATTTCACGCCACATTCCAGCATCTTTATTGTCCGACACGCTGTAGGCATTTGTCGACGTTAATCGTCGTCAGTGACTTGGTGTAGCCAAGCATTTAACCTTTACTCGACATCGTGATTGATTACGATAATATCTCCACGAAGTCGCAGAAGAACTGCATCACCACTCTAGCGCTGCAGCTCACGGCTTTGTGTAGCACTTGTCACGTGTAAATGCAAGATGTGGCCCAGTCTCTCTTGCAGAGGTATTGCTAATAGTAGAGTCGTTCGACACCACCAAGTCGACGGTATCATCAATCTCTTTCAAACAACACTCAGAACGTCATGTGATAATTTCATGAAGAGACCGACTTCTCGCACTTAAGCCTTTGTAGACCTCAAATGTGCAAGAAAGGCATGAACACGTAAGTAGATCAAAATGTTAGCAAACGACTGACTCAGTTCTGCTGCATGTAATGCACAGACGTCTCAGTGGCTGCTGAAGTGTTAGAATCTTTATACATACAATCACCGCGATACATGTGAAGAGCGTGCGATCATAAAGTTTGACATTATGGAAGCTACGATCCTTTCTGTACTGTAACTACCTTCACGATCACATTCCAACAGATTCATTTACAGAAGGTCAGCACACTACGACACTACAGACTCATGAGTGGGTGCGTCATATGCGTCTTAGTGCAGATAATCTTGATCACAACCCCCCGGATGGTTTTGATGTCGGCTACTGTCGCTGGGGTTCATACAAGTTCTCATGTGTCCAACCGGTTTCATGTGACTACGATCATCGCGCTCAGGTTTTCTCATCCGAAACAGCCGGGCGCATCAAGTAAGGTCTGCGACTATGAAAGTCATGTGACTTATTCCACACCTCACTAGAAGTTTTTATACAACATCTTCGAAGAGCATTGCCGTCGGTAACGCAAACACTATGGTAAAACTCTTACTGGACACGAAAAAGCTCGTGCGTCTGGAAGATTCGATCCCAAACACGAAGCTAAAACTTGTCGGCTTTGTGAATAGCGGTGAAAAAGCGATGCAGTTGCGTAGTTACAACAACGCAGTCAATGAATGACGCGACAACAACATGGAAAATGTTAGTGCAAGGTTGCAATAATTGTCCGTGTACGCAGATGTATCTACTGTTTCAAGCTAGCAGCATGTGGAGAGCAAATCTGCACGTCAGAACTTTAACAGTGAGGGATCAATATACGCTGCAACTCGACTTGATAGACGTCGTAAATGTAGACAAAGCAACGGATGATGATCAACTACGACACCTCCATTTGTACCTTCTCGACGTTTTGTAATGCTGCCAAAGTTTCTTGAACGTTAGTAATACGCCATTGAGATGAGTAGAATAGAGCGAAAAGTTCGAGGTGCGTCACTGGCTAGGACAGGCTGTAAACTACAGAAAGCGCCAAGCGCATATTTGGTAAATATACAGGATCATATTCAGCATGAGATGGTGCTTTGGATCATTGGTTTGACTACTTATTGTCTTGATTTCAACATTGAAATGCAGTTGGACGGATCTGCTTTTGTACGTTCATCAATACAGTAAAGCTACGCTGGCTAAGGAGCGAGACGGGTGTCAGTTAGTTACCCAAACGCCACACACCGCCTTAGGTGCGTAGTACGGGAAGCATGAGAATTACGAGCATAAGAACAGAACTTGGCTCGACATTGATCCGGTCGACCACCTGTCTCCTGGGAAGGCACTAACATTGTCAAAAAAGCCAAAAGACGGTTGCATTCAAAGAAGAACTCTCGATGTCACCACCTGTTCGGTGCTATTTCAGTAAACTTGCCAGATGCAATAAAGGTCGACTGAAGTTGTCTCTTGATGCTGCTACATGTCGTTTTGCAGATCCGAAGGAGAAAGCATACGAGTTGCAAAGGTCTTTTTAACTTCAAACTTAGCTTCAGAGCTCATTTACGAATTCATCGTTTTACCATATCGTGAAACTTCTTTAGTGACCAAACAATGTATCGTCGGGTAACTGAGCCTCGTTGGGGAGTGAGCGGTGACGCCATATTGAGCTCGACAATCAGGTTTGACCGAACAATTTGCCCATTTGATCAAACGATGAGGCCGTTGCAGCCAACCAAGTCCCTACGGTCTCGCGATTTTTCAATCGAGTTGGGTGTTGGCCGACCATTTCAACAATCAAATCTACAGCCTATGGACTTTTCAAAGGAATTGTGGTTCGGTCGAGCGCCACAGATTCCACAACCAACACAAGCTCAGCGACAGTTACGAGAATGTCCACGACCGCCACCGAAGGTAGAAGAACACTTGATGGCACCTAGACGGTCCTTGCACCTATCGCAGCTCGCTTCGCGGCCATTGGAGATACAAACACGTCCATCGCCGCGAGTCATCATACCGTCATTGGAGGTTTTAGGTCAAACTTGTGGCAGAAACGCTACTGGTACTAGTCAGCCGCAGGTGATACTACCATCGGCTCGACACCGCGAGATCATGTCAGATATGAGTCAGTCCGTAGAAGAAGTTATGAGTTCCATGCTACCTGGTGGTTTAAACAACATGCAGTGGAAGTTTAAGCTGCAGAAAAAGAATATTGCGTACTATCGGGACGAGGCCAGCATCAAGGCAGGGCAGACGAGATTTTGCTGCGTTAGTCACACTCATGCGACAGTCGACGAACTTGTGAGTCTATTTTTTCCAACTGATAATAATGCAGTGCTTCGGAATAACAAGCTACTTCATGACAATGTTATGGACGCCAAGGTATTGTTAACTCTTCGCTGTCCGACCAAAGAGCGACCGATGAACTCCATGTACGTGCGATACACGAGTTTTCGGACTTCGGGACCGCTGCCGAACCGAGAAATGTATGTAGTCGTGGCCACCGACATGATCCGTCAATCAGATGGATCAACTGTTGGCTACTGTCTTTGGGAATCCATTGACGACCATGAAATCCTGAATGCTGTTAAGACGACAGGGCATGAAGTGTCCACTTCATTTTGCTCCGGTTTCTTATTTCACCATCCAGGACGAACAAAATCAGCGAGTGGAGACTCGATGGAAGGCTACACTAAGATCATCTACATGGTTGGAATGGAAGGTGGGTATCGACCATCAAGTCTCACATCTCGTTCGGTCATGGAGAAGCACGGCTTAACCGTTGACCGTTTGTGCTCGCACTTTCGCCAAAATCATTTGGATCCATCAACATTTGTCGTAAGGACGCAATGGAAAACCCTGCGTGCTGCGAAAAGCTGTAACCAGTGCAAGAAACCCTTTCACATGCTGTCAAAACGCGTCAATTGTCACGCGTGTGGTCACGTTGTGTGCAAATCATGTATTTCGAAGGAGACGGTAGCATTACCTACGATTGGTGTTGTATCTACTCATGTATGCTTTGGATGCCTTAAAAAAGCCGGACTTCCTACTCCTACATTGTCGATACAAAAGACACGATCGAGTCTACGACAAAAGCGTCTACACTATGAAACTGCAAGTACATTTCGAGATGTAATTGCTGTTGTTTATACTGACATAAGTGAAGCTGAGGACGACACTGTTACTGATACTGATGAATGGGCTATTACAACAATGGGTCTTCCCATTCGACCGTCTCGAATAGCGGCATTTGTGTAAGTAGGAGACAAATGATGGTACTACAAGAGTGACAGAAAGTTGTACTCATGGACGGTCGTCTGTGTAAATAATATCTGTACGATAATAATGTCTGGATGCATCGTATGGATAAATTTCAGTTTTAGTGATTGATAAAATCCTTGTTTTGTTACTATTTTCATATCGTTTTGGTTTAACATTTGTGGTAGAGATAAAAAGAATATCTGGATGTTTTTGGAAAAGTGATCGAATTGGGTAAAAGTGATGGAGATTTTCTCATATTGGAGTGCCACACACTAATAGTAGTCATAACCCTTATTGCCTGATATTTTGCTAATATAGGAAGGAACGGATCAAACACAAGACTGATGTTCAATGCATTGTATTATTAATGTGTGAAGGAAAAGGCGCTGGAGTAAGTGCGCAAGCAGCCAAAGCGTTATTGCCTAGCCTAGTCATTAACTACACAAAATCTGTTTCTTTCGTGCACAAATAGCTGTCATCAAATACTTGTTTTTAACCCAAAGTAACGTTTTGTTTCCGTCAAATTTATCATCAATCCTGTTAAAAGCACAAAATTTGTCAAATATTTCAATTTTCAAGTTAACACTGGAATTTTGTGACTAAGTGTTGATTCGTATTAACAGGATTGATTCGTGGTATCAAGGAAGCAGTCATGAAAATCAAGTACAATAGTATACTATTTGTAAACCAATGTCTGCCCCTTCTTTCTTGTTAAAGAAGGATAGTCCATGTCGTGCGATAGATAGCCAGCCAGCCAAGTCGACAGTAAGCGAGCGACACGATCGGTAGATAATATCCATCCCCCATCCAGACATATTCTCCATGTATTTATTAGCCTAAGACAAACGTTATTACGTATCAAATAAAATCATACAAATCCATTGAGTGCAGTCGCAACGAACGTTACCTCTCATAGTGTAAAAAGGTCAAAAAAACTACCATTTGTTCATAATAACGTTAGGATGTGTATAGCTTGAGCACATATTGTGAGTAGATTATCATTGTGTTGGACAGGCATCCTACTAACATGAAAATTATAATCCAAACTCGTTCAAAGACATGAGAACTTGAGCAATGTACGACGTGATCTAACAAATCAATCATTTTGTTCCCGATCGCAGCCCACATGACAGTTCCAGCTGTTTTTAAAGAAACAGCAGTTTCATACCATGGTCAATATACTGGACACGACGAATTTCATGGTACTGATAGTAAATATACAAAAAGAATAGATAGACTGACTGACTGAATGACTGAATGAATAAATGACCGATGATAATACAGCGGTTTGTTCGAAAGATGCTTTATATTAGGACCTTGAAATAGGTCATATATATACACGTCAGTCAGTACAAACTTGATCCCCCCACCACTCACTCACTCACTCACCTGACCGACCGCCTGTCCCTTTTGTAATTAGTGGTATATCCCTCTTACCAATCAAAATAAACCCCTGTACCCTCACTCTAATTCTTACTACCTACCATAGACTGCTGATAATGATACTAGATAGCAATTGGATGCACATCGATAGGATAGAGCTTAGGGTCTGCGACGTTTTCTCGCCTTCATAAGTGAATTTGCAGGTAGTAAGTAGTATAGTTTAAAAGTCCTTCCTTTCATTCTTCCGTTCATTCCTTCACAAAAGAGTTTATAATATGAGCAATCAGGAAGAGAGATGGACAACGTCACAGTCTGTTACGTCAGACTTGCTTGAAAGGTCCAAGTATGGAATACCACCACCTTCTAATCCAAAAGTCCTTCGACGACCATCAAGACAAACTGTGACTGAGAGTTCTAATAATTCTCATACAATCAGTGAACAGACTACGAGACCACTTACTCAGACAATGAGACCAACTCGATCGTCTCGAGACACGTTACAACCATCGAAACAGACTCAGAAACAATCAAGACCTCGACAACCATTAGCACAAGGTTCACATCCACCACCTCAACAGACTCCATTACCTTCACGATCGCAGCCTCGACGTCAGGTTCTAGACCAGCCACGATCGTCTCCTCGGCCTCAAAAAAACACGAAGACAAATTGTCGGCCTTCCAGACCTTCTCCACGACAGCGACTAGCGCACAAAATGGCGAATCATCAACGCGTGAATGACGTGGATGATTTCATAGAATCACCACGACCGACTTTGAAGAGTTATCCTGATGATAGTGGACAAAGCCGACAGCCACGTCGGCGGTCACCACAGCAGACCTATAAACAACGTACTCGACCATTGAAGCAGATTCCAGATCGTACACTTGATTGTTCTCTCCGAGCCATCGAATTGTATTCCTGTTTACACAGTCAACAGATCTACTGCGGAGCAAATGCCGCAATCATCACAAAAGGTTCCAGCGGCTTGTTCACCAATGCAACGACATTATAGTAACAAATCTGCGGGGACTAACAGTAATAGTAGCACCGAGTCGTACATTGAGCTGTCACCGATTCGCCGTCGTGAGATCATTATAAGTGTTAATGAATCCGTGCAGTACGTGATGGCGTCAATGCTGTCGGACAGAGCCAGCAATGTGCAGTGGAAACCGAAGTTTCGTAGGAAGGATATCTCCTACTATTTGGATGAGATGAGTGTCAAGCCAGGACAAACAAGATTTTGTTGCGTGAGCCATACCCATGCGACAGTGGAGGATATCATGAAGCTTTTTGTCATGTCCGATGCTGATTCAATGGCTCGGAACAGTAGAGTGCTTTCAGACAACCTGCTGGAGACTCAAATTCTGTCAGTACTGCGCTGGCCGACTACAGAGCGACCAATGAGCTCCATGTACGTGCAATACGCGTGCTATCAAAACCCGGGCTTGATGCAGGACCGAGAGGTATGCGTTGCTGTTGCCACAGACATGATTCGTCAACCTGATGGATCGACTATCGGCTATTGTCTGTGGGAAACGGTTGATGGTCCAGAGTTTGCTGAGATTACTAACAAGTGTGAGCCTTGCATCATGTTTCGTTCGGGCTTTTTTCTCCGACGCCCAGGCCGACGACACCAGTCGACAACTGATAATTTGAATCAAAACGACACGAAGATCGTGTACATGATAGGTTTAGAGCCTGGTGGTTGGGCACCAGGCCTCACTACCAGACTGCTGATGGAAAAGTTTGGCTCGAATCTTACCCGCCTTTGCTCGCACTTTCGCCGCAAGCAGCTGGACTCGCGCACGTTTGTGATGAAAACCGAGTGGTTATCAAAGATGTCTGCGAAGAGCTGCAAACAGTGTGAGAAACAGTTCCAAATGCTGTCGAATCGTGTGAATTGCCACTCATGTGGCCACGTGGTGTGCAGATCCTGTGTTTCCAAGGAGCTGGTGGACCTGCATGCTGTTGGCCTTGTTCCCATGAACATTTGCTTCTGTTGTCTCGAGAAAGCTGGACTTCCTACATCGTCACAGCATGCACGACCCAGTTTGGGAAGAAGGCGTCTGCGGTCTGACAACACAAGCGCTCATCGAGTCACGACGTGGCAGCCATCGTCTCAACCGCAGCCATATCGTCAATCCAAGTCAGTTGTAGACACTGATTTGATTGCAGAAGATGACGATGACTCGGATACTGGGGAGTGGGCTTTTACGCCTTCGGGTGTACCAATTCGACCGTATCGAATGGCAGTAGAATGACAACGACAATATATGGTCATGGAAATATGAAGAAGCCAGAGTGGGCAATGTTGTGCCTCCTAGTTGTAAAGTATCCTATTTTGGCGCTATGGTGATACTGTGGCGACTATGATTATTCACTCTCGAGCTAAACAAGACAACACGATATCAGCCGAGCAGATACAAAGAGCGGTAAACGAACTGATTGTGTCTTACAGCGTCATCTAGGACGGACCCTCCTACTTATGATTTGCGCTGCATAATATGATCAAACGTCAAGTCAAGTAATTTGTTCATGGGAAAATGTCCTTGTGTTTGCAGAAGATTTTCCTTGTAACGAAGCGGCCAGTAAGTCAGACGTTCAATTGTGTCGATCCATTTGCTAGAGTCCTTCGGCAGCACAACAGGTCACCAACGCATAGCTTCATCGGAGACTTGAGATATCACCATTTTCACGACTGTGAGCAGGCCACAGGTAAGCCAGTGGCATATCGGCATTTGCCACGGTATCTGCCAATGGAGTTCATCCACTCACATATCTCACCGCAGTTTTCTTTGGCCTCATCTGTGCTAGAAACATCGTGGCTATTGGTAGCCACTGGTCCAGAGTAAAGTGCCACGACTGTGCAGAGGCGTATGTGTGTATGGTCCTGATACAACCAATTGCGCTGAATGTTGTACTCCAGACCTGAAACGTAGATCTGCTGCTGCTCCATGTCCTGATAGTCCTGTGGCAACTGTTCGTAGCTAGTGAGCAGTCCACCAATATTCACTACTGATGGTAGTAAGGAAGAATTTTGAATGTCATCCAGGCCCAAGACAATGGCTTTAAATGGATCAAACCGATGACTTGAAACAGCAGCACGACGTGATCCATTCAGTCTGTAGCCATTTGCATCGACAATGTGACGATCGAGCAGACGATATCGAACTTAGAAACCTCTAAACAACGATATACTCAATCCATTATTCGATTTAAGTAATATAAAATACTCTATGGAAGCGTCCTATTTTGTGTCATCTTTTTTATACCTATTTTTTTCAGCCTACTTTGATCCTACAATATTATTGACTCATAATTGATTCTTCATTGCAATTGTCTTAAGCCGTATGTTTTTTCAATCCGAGGCGTTTCGTTCCGACCGTGGATTGGGTAAAGTAGCACTAGCAGCTTTCGGATTGGGCGTGTTCATGACACTTCATGTCTCTTTGTTACTTTACATAAAGTTCGTAGCTCTCACAGATTCATCTCTCACTGCATTAGCTCATTCACGTTGGCAATGCCTTGTGCAATGGAGTTGGTATGCGTTAGCATTAGGGTTTTTTCATTTGATGGAATTTATGCTCACAGCAGCCTATCGTCCTATCAATGTCAGCTATGAGTGTATGTGTTGATCCTATCCTATCTTTTTGAAAATCATTTATATTACACCTAACCAAGACTAAATATTTTACTTACCAAACACTAACGTATTTTATTTTGTACGGTGATTTAATAACCTGTAGCTTTTTTACTAAATCATAGTCGAGAGTATCATTTAGCTGTTTTTTTGAGCTCAATTGAATTTTGGCTCGAACTTTATTTCGTACCAGACTGGAAATTACATTCATTGGTTCGACCTGTGGGAATGGGCTTTGTCATTACTGGACAATTCTTTCGAGTAGCAGCAATGAGCACAGCTGCAACGAATTTCTCCCATCGTATTGAGTATTTGAAAAGAAAAGACCATCAATTGGTTACACACGGAGTTTATCGCTTTATTCGTCATCCAAGCTACCTCGGTTGGTTTGGATGGATTGTGGGGAGTCAAATCTTGTTAGCTAACCCGATCTGTGCTGTTGGTTATTCCATTGTCGCCTGGAGTTTTTTCCACGACCGGATTCCGTACGTGACACGAAACTGCCAGTGAAATACTTTCTTCTTCTGCTTTTACTAGTTGAGGTAGGAGCTGATTTGTGATGAACATGCTTGTTTTCTTTTTGCTCAGGTATGAAGAACATTTACTACTTAGTTTTTTTCCAGACGAGTATCCTGCGTACAAGGCTCGTACTTTTAGCGGCATTCCATTTGTGTGACAATGGATCGATTTGGTGTAGGGATGTTTTAAGCAATGGAACAAAAACAGATTCAGCTTGTTATGAGAATAGAAACGACGTAGTATAGACTAGAACCAGAGCACCACCAATTCAAGTGCCAACTTTTATTTCATTGCTTTTGTCGTCGTCTTCTTGCTCTTGGAAGCGTCTGATGATTCCAAATCACCAGACTGCAAAGCATTGGAACTCCTTGCTTGGGGCATTCGTAGACCTGTTTGCACTGCTCACATCACCAGTTACACCTTGTTTTGATCAACAAAAGCCGAAAGTTCCGTACCATAATCATTGTCGATGTTACCCATAACTCCCTTGGAACTCCACTGCTTCTGGACATCATTCAACCTTTTTGAATTACTGTACTCCAAATCCGTCACAAGTGTTATTTTCCGTATCACTTCATGCTCAAACATTGCCACCACCGTCTCCATCCATTCTTGCAATTGCAGTGGAAACGTCACACTTGTCATTTCATCGTCACCATTGACTGTACTTTCACTTTAATGAATGTATGATTCACAAGTGTCATACACTCGCTTGCAAACGATCGAAGATGACGTAAGACCTCTTGGTACTCGCGCATGATATCAATCAAGAACGTTCGACTCTTTTTTCAACGATAAAAAGTGTAACCTTTATCTGTCAGAATCTGAAAGTATGTGAGCTCACTGGTTGTCAACGATGCACTCATTGGTACGTGCAACGTATGAATGCCACCCTGTGGGTATTTGAAAAGGTTGCAGTGATTGACACAACAACAATATGGCGTTATGTCGATTGCAAAACGGTTATCTTGTATCGAGGGGTCCTTCTTTGAAAGACGTAGTTAGTTGAATGGAGTCAAGCCTTAACGCCATTACAACTGGTCACTGTTATGACTCTTGTCACACGAATAACGAATTGACTAGTAGACATCGATACTTTTTTGCTTCAGCAATACCGACCTGAACAGAATGTTCGGTCCACGACAATGCGTGTGTAGCGATTACGTACGAGGTTGCAGAGATCGTCACTGCCTTGCTTGCTATGTACGTTTGCTCTGTATTTTCTTGACTCCTTATTGTGTTGATCGTGAAACCATTTCAGGTCTTGTAGCAAACCGTTATTCAATCTGCGCTCTTGGAATGTGACGAGCTGAACTCATCGGAAAAGGCGTCGTGCGTGGCCGTGCATGACGTGAAAGCCTTTTTCTTCGACAAATGCCTCTTCGTGACCCGATATCTCATTTCTAACGGGCGCAGGAAGCGCTGTAGCAGCTCTTGGCGAGTATCTGATTTATGTGAACCTCTCAATGATTCAAGCAACTAATGCTATAGTTCAATCATGCCTTGATCAAGCTACTTCCTGTAGCTGTTTTCCTCATTGCAGTGAAAGTCATGGACCATGATACGACGAACAAGGTGGACATGTTGTTTGTTTTTCTGTTGTAGTAATACGGGACGTTGAACCCACGCATTCTCGCCAAGCTGAACTCTTGTGGTCCGACCTCAACTCAGGGAGCTGAACCCTTGCTAACGATTCGAGCATGCATTACACTGTAAACGTCTCTGCTAAAATGACAACCGTCGAAAGCTGTTGTTAGAGGTCTGCCTTTCTTTAAGCCATCCGGCAACTGTGAACTTTCGTCTGCATGTAGTTATCAGAGTCCCAGGAATTGGGATGCAAGCGCTGGAGATGCTGCTGCTTTCATCCATCCTATCTGCCAAAGACATTCATTTGACACTCTTTGTATTCATTTGCAGCTTTTGTGATCTACCCACACCTTGTTTGTTTTACCAATCGAACTCGATCACACTAAGCAACTAGACACAAGATTATCGTGATAGATAGTGTTTGGTCTTTCAGATCGTTTCCTGTCTCCGCTTACAATGATCTAATTGCTGTTACGTGTAGATGAACGTACGTGCAGTCCATGAAGCTGTACAATTCAACGGTCCGAGTGGTATGACAACTTCAACTTCAGTTTCGTGCCCCTTCATGCGCAATGTTAAGAATGGATTGTACACTAGTCGTCACCAAGCAGTCCGGTCCGACGTGCTAACAGCGTCCGGGACTAACTTTCCACTGCTAACGAAAAAAACGGTCTACAAGACCACCAGTCGGCGCGTCAGAAACTGCTTTCGCTGAAAGTGAGGAACAGGCCAAGCTATTTTGCTTTGTAACTATGGAGATGTGTGTATGTTTCACGATACTTGCTATATACACTTAGCATGCATGCTACTAATCGCAAGAGTTGAGACTGATTGTTACAGATATCGGGTCGAGGAACTGTTCATCGCGTCCTTTTGTGGTCGGACTGCATATTCTCTCAAGCTCCACGGTTGCTACATTGCTGACCTTATAACGCCGCCAAGCCAGGCAATCACAAAAAGGACGCCAGCAAGGAATAACGCATGTCAAGTGGAATATTCCATGTCAACCAACGCCTTTCGGGCCCCTTCGCTACTGGACAGTCAACCACAGAACAGGAGCCTCTCGGTGAACTCACATCCACTGCTTAGAAGTCCCACATTTCAATTTTTCCACTCATCCTCAGGAGTACAACGATCCCTTCCCTACATCACCTACAATGATGTCCTTCCGCACATTCCTTCCACTGTCCCAACAGAGCTTTGTCGAAATGCCACAGCTACTTGGTCTCAGATCAAAACTACAGTCAAAACCGATCAACAAGTGCTCTCTTGATTTCATCCTGTCGAACGACAAGGTTATCACGAAACCAGCATTGTTGCCTTCATTTCCGTGGACATCGCCACAGCGAGGTTCATCGAACAAGACGTTTGCTCCAGTCCTAGCACCTCTCACTGGTCCGTGCAAAATGGCAAAACGTCGGCGTCTTCAGAATGTCAGCGTCTCGAACAACAGCACCAAAGTATCTGGCAAGGCTGGCATAGCGCTTGCAAATGGTACAATTGTCAAAAAAGGCAGCAAGTACTGCATGGTTGAGGGCTGCACAAGTCGAGCGAAACATGCACGTCGTTGCTGGCGCCACGGTGGTTCTGTCAAGTGCAAAGTTCCTGACTGCGCGAATCGTGCCAAGACCAAAGGTGTCTGTTGGTCGCACGGTGGTGGTACACTTTGCTCTTCGCTTGGCTGTACAACGATTTCGGTCTCAAACGGTGTATGCTGGGCCCACGGCGGTGGCAAGCGCTGTGCCATGGACGGCTGTGCACGTCCAGCTTATGAGCGTACCGATCATCTCTGCACGCTACACTTTGAGGAGAAGCAACACATTGCACAGATGCAGCCCACCATTACTCAGTGCCACCAGTACAATTGCTAATACTCAAAGACCTTCATGCATTGAAAGACTTTTTTAAGGCAGATGAAGTTACTGCCACCATTTCAGAACATTGCTACAAGATGTAGCAAGTGCATACCTACACATTCATGAGTACTTGAGAATCCCTACATACATAACTTTTAATAGGATGAGAGAAATATACATACAATCATGCAATTGCTACAAAGTTTCATAAAAAACTTGCTTACCAAACAAATGTCAGTCAAACTTCATCCATTGCGGTTGTAAAGTTTATTGAATTCCACTCTTACTTGCTATACCGTAGAACGACTTCTTCTTGTGGCCATATGCCTCTATGTTAAAAGGATTACTTCCTCATTTCCAACAAACCAATACCTCTGTGTTGCTTATCGTTATGCTTTTGCGCGTAAAACGGCTTGCTGTGTCTGAAAAGCTTCATACGTTCTTTCAAATAACGGCTGGAAGAAAAGCATCCAGTCGTCGTACAGAATGCGCTTATTTTGTCGATTTGGGTGTCGTTTATTACCAATGTCCTCACCACCGCGATAGTCGTGCCAATCACAACCTACAAATTGACAGAGGTTCCGATAACCCCAACGCCTCCTCAAGAACGGGAATATCTCCATCACCGTAGTCATCGGACGTGCCCAAAGCACATTTACAAGACCAGCACCGTGCATACCAATAATTATGTCGCTCTCAATGGTAGTGATCATCTGTTCGCGCAGCGTAAGACCTACATAGTCAACCGATCGAAACTCAACGTTTAGGTCCTTATACTCCGTCCGCATCCTCTCCATCACCTCATTCTCATTAACCCAAATGCGTTCTAATTTTCGTCCCCTATACGGCCGACGAGTAATGACCGTTACAATCATTGGTCCGATCCTATTTAACCCAACTTCAAGTTCCACTTCCGGTGTTACATTCATTGTTAAAAGAGACTGAGCGCGAAACAGTTTGATCAGATCCGAGTCGTAGCACGGTTCGTCATCATTCAAATGTTGCATCATTGGACCAGAGGTTTCAGCAGATGCGACCAAGACATTACCTCGAAAATGAACACGTTTGCCCATAAGTGTTGCACCATCAATCAATTTATGATATGGTGCTAATAGACCCTGATGTAATTCGTCAATAGGTGAAGGATAACCAGCATCCAAATGTATCACATAGGTCGAAGTTAGACTCCAATTCAATGCCTTGAGCATAATCCATGCATTTAAAGCATTGGAAATCTGGAAAAAAGGATTATGATCATCATGACGTGCAACAAGCACGACCGGATCATTAAAAATTATCGTTTCGATATTATCCGGTGCTTGAGTTGGATATTTGATAAAGTCCCATGCCGATCGTTTCAAATCAGTTGGTAATCGTGGAGCACAAATTGTTGGTAATGGAACGTCACCGGATGAAAAAGCAGTCAATGAAGATCCCCAAATTTGATTATTTCGACGTGTAATCTCATTTGTCATTTCATTCATAAAATAGTCTGTTAATTCAGTACATGCACAATTAATTAATTGCATATTAAATTTGAATCGTGGATCATGTTTTCCACCATCCTGGGCCATTGATTCAATAGGCGCACGAATGGATACATTCACAAAATCCAGCATTAGGTTTTGAAACACTGCACTTTTGATCCCACCAGCAACATGATACATTGTGACTTGAGTTGCTTTTTCGTGACTTACGGGAGCTTCTTTTTGTGAATCCCAGCCACCATCCATACAAAAACGTCGAGCAGCTTGTTGTGTTGCTAAAATGATTCCCATATCACGTTCAGCAGTACATTTTTCCTGAGTCCATGTTTTTTTGTAAGTATGCGGCGCTTTCATACGTTGCCCTAGGGCAATCATATGTTGCTCTTGTTGCTTCAGTTGCGCCACGGTCAATTGTGTTACTGGATAGGTTTTCAGACTGATGGTGTCTGTGATCTGACCATCATTCTCAACACGAAGCATTATTCCCCACATGCTTGGTCGTAATTGACAGATCACACCGAATACTAACAACATAAACATCATAATATGTAGAAGGCGCCGGCCAGTGCCAAGGAAGGCGATGGACCGCATAGATGCAGCTAAACTGTTCTTCTTTTTCATGAGGATGAGGCGGGGGGGGTGTACAATAATTATTGTGACTGTAGATAGAAATATTATGTCGCATTTGAAAGAAACAAATTATTTTCAATCATATAAAAAAATAATTTTTATTTTTTTTTTTTCGGACGACAGATAAGTATACCATGAACCTGTCCAGACGGATATCTTGACAAGTGTATTAGCGATTTAAAGCCGCAGGATTGGTCAAGGTCACAAGTAGTTAACAGTTATCAAACGTTATCAGTTAACCAGTGTCAATGGCCGAAAGCAGTTTACTATCCAAATGTTGCATTAAGCGTTACTTTTGTATTATCTACAGATTATTATTCTGTGGTAAAATTAACCTATTTTATGTGAAGCTCTATATTTTTATTTGAAATGCTAAATATATAAATCTGGAAGGCTCATGTTTTTCGCTAAAAGTATTCATTTGTCCTTTCCAACTATTTGGCTCATCTTTTTGATCCAAAAAATAGTAATCATACCAAAAACAAAGACAATCATTACATTTTTCCAGTGTCATCATGGACTTAGCATCATAGATTTTGACATCAATTAGAACGACTGTATGAGACCACATCGCTATGGCTCAGCTTGCTCCATTTCCGTATCATTTAGTTGTATCATCTTCTTCGTCTTCTTGCTCTGCATATCCGTTCGGGTGTTCTTGGTCCTCATCAACAATGCGAGCATTGATTTCCTCAATATTCTTCTCCTCCTGCTCTGTCTTTTCCGTCTCTTGCTGCTCTGTCAACTCATTCGATTCACACTTTACTTGAGCCTCAGCACCGGCAAAAGTATCTTCATGGCTTTCTACCGGAACTTGTGCATCCAACACGTCTTCCTTTGCGTCATCGTCGTCAAAGCTCTCCTCTTCAATTGTTCCTTGCTCCGCGACTAAGCTACTCACGGGAGCTTCTGAGAATGACTCATCTTCCTCAAGCTCCCTCTTCTCCCCTATATCTCCGTGATCTTGCACTTTGACCAAGACCCGGCGTGCGATATCCACGAGGTCCGTTGCATCATGTGTTACTGCTGAAAGGTCCAATGCAGTCACCATTTGCGGCTCGACGCTACACATCAACTCCTTGAACTGCTTACGCTCCGTAGCAGACATGGTACCCTTTTCTTTCAGCTCTTTCAACAAAGCCAAAAGTAGATACCCCTCCTTTTTTTCGGCTGCTTCAGCATCAAGCAGCTTCATAGTCTCCAGGGATGCGATTCGAGCCAGCGTATCCACAAACTCTTCCTTGTTGTTGTCGCTGAGGAAAACCACGAGTGCTGCGATGACACGATCATCACGAACATTCACCATCTCCACAAGACGCGCTGCCCCAACGCGAGAAAGCTTGCCACTTCGTGCCAACGGAGGGATCCAATCGTGCACCATTGCACGGCGATGGCGCTCCCAAGCTGCTAATTCGACCAAAATTGCGAGCGTCTCCACAAGTTCGTTTGTTTCCTGATCCTCGTGGTACACGTCGACAGCAGCCAGTAAACGAGGATCATGAGACTTTAACAGCGATATTAGCAATTGAATCTGCCACAATTCTAGACGTTCACTCCTTCCTAAATCCGCGAGAAGTCGACATACAGCTTGACCTTCGTCAACAGGCTCCCCCTCCTCCATCTCACGTCCAAAGTGCGCATGCTTTACTACTAGTAATAAAGTCTCTTCCAACTCGTGAACATCTCCGTCAGCCTGAAAAGCCTCATTCGCAGCTTTTAAAGCCTCATTTTCACCATGAAACAATACCAAAAGTCCAGCAGCATCACCACTCTGTAACACCCCACGCAGCTGCATCTCACGCACAACATCTTCAAGGCTAACATCGCTGGCAGGCACACCATTCAGACCATTTTGTCCAGTCTGGCATTGCTCAATCTGCCGCTGCAATTTGGCTACACGTTGCAAGGTATCCAAAAGCTCGCTAGCATCACCATCAGCTGCGTAAGCCTCGTAAGCGCTCTCCAGCAAGTTGTGTCGCTGGAATACCAATTTACGTAACGCGCTTGCATCCGCTGGTGTCAGCTCCTGTTGACATTGCCATTGTCCTAACAAGAAGCTCAAGTGTCGCTGCCATTCCAACAAGCCACTGTCGTCGTCGCTATCTTTCCATTGACTATCCTCTCGCACAGCGTCGCCCATACCACATGCAAAGGCAGCAGCTGCTTTCTCTTCGTCGCCGAATTCCATCGTAAAATCTTCTACGATACTAACCAGTGCGTCTCGAAGCGCCCCAACATTGCGATAATCGCTCTGTTTGAAGGCCCGCAACGTGTGCAGCACCTGAGAATCCTCTTGCTCAATCAGAGCCTTTATAATATCCAACTCCAAGCTCGTCAGCAAATGTTGAGCATGCAAAGATGTCACTGCAGCTACTGCCGCCGAGGTCGTAGCAGCAACAGCAGGTGCGTTTCTCACTCTCTTCCTCACCAAAAAATTGCCCTGTCTCGTTCCTTTTCTCGGACCTTTTCCTTTACTTTTCTTACTTGTAATCGGTCTCGACGGTTCATTCTCAGCTGCTGCAAGTCTTTTGGCCATTGCCTTCAAACCTAACAAACTCCCTCCGTCTTTTCTGTAGCTCTGCAGTGCGCTCCATAGCATCTTGTTCTCACCCACAATGAGCTCCAATAAGTGTGTACCATGTTCCTCCGACAGCATATGCTGGTCTAGCAACTTTTCTACAATAGTCAGTAGCTCGATTGTATCAATGAACTTGTTTTTCGTCGCGTCCGTCTTCCAATTCTGTCTGATCTCGTCAGCAAGAGCTAAAATCTGCTTCTGAACCTGTGGACGAATGGCTTTTGTGCCAATCACAGCCACTTTCTTGGCCACTAGCTCACCATAGAGCGTCTTCTTTTCCTTCTGTTGATGTACTTGATTTCTAGGCATCTGTAGCTCTTCACCGTCCTTTGGATGCAGCATTTGCAATAGAAATTCCTTCTTTTTGTCCACTGACAGCGTCCCATTCATTACAGCAAGTACCTGAGCATTTTGTTGTTCACACAAGTGTTGTAGCATGGCGAACTCAAAGCCAGAAAGCTTTTCCTCGCTTTCTAGCGCCTGTAAGAGCTTCTGCAAACTCTCCACATCGTTTCGAGACGTTATCGCCTCGTTCTCAGCCTTCCAAGCTGTCTGAGAGCTTGCAAATGGTGCAAATAAAGCACAAACGTGTCCTATAAGTAGTTCCGGTGCTTTACATGCCACAGACAGCGGCACAAGACGTGGAATGGATCTTGAATGGCGTTTCTTGCGACTCGAACGTGGCGTCTCCTGTGTCACTTGGAAGCCAGTACACACGCCATCATAGTGTCTCAATGCTGTACGAACGACCACATCAAGCTCCTGTGGCTGTATACCCGCATAGAGTCCTAATGTCGCCTTCGACGAAGCCCCAAAGAGCTCGACATACGCTACATTACCTCCCATGTGGAATAAAGTATCTTGGTTATAGTATGGTGAGGCGTCAAGAAAAGATTGTGTATCAGTTATGTAAACGGATCATGTCTACTATGTAAACCTAATGTTGACCACACCATTCTATCGGCGTCACGTCTCATGGATGACGCACATGTGATAACGTCACTCGACGACCTATCGACTAAACTGATAAAGTGAGTTACAGGTCTTGGAAATTCGACTATGAGTCATGGATGGACAGTAGAAGATGATTCACGCGCTAAGCTATTTAATGGTAGGTCTATTGCTGTGTGATTGTATGTAGAAGCAGAGATATGTAAATTTAAAGATATATATCTGAATTATTAGATCAAGTACATGGGTACATTCAAGTCAATGGACTATGTGTATCATTAATGGATACACCACAATTTCAACGACTACGAGACTTAAAGCAGCTTGGAACGCTGTATTACGTCTTTCCAGGTGCTTCACACAATCGATTTGAACATTCACTCGGTGTAGGTTTCTTATCTGGACAGACAGTCGAGCGATTTCGACACCAGCAGCCTGAACTAGAACTTACACTGAGAGATTCCAGGCTATTGGTAAGTTGATTTGCAATTGAGATCGACAAGCAGTGATGGAGTAATCGTTAATGCACTGTAGAGTGCAGCAGGACTTCTTCACGATTTGGGACATGGTCCCTTTTCACACGTATTCGAGCACGAGTTTATGCCTCGTGTTGCATTGATGAGGGGATATGGCAATGGAGATATACCATTGTATCACCATGAAGACATGTCAGTAAGGATGATTGAGTACATGGTCGATGACAACAACATTGACTTGGAAAGGGACGACATGCGATTCATCCAGCAACTTATCGTTGAAGCAAAAGAGTTAAAGGTGTTTGAATGTTGCAACACATGCAGTTTTACAACTGATAGATTTCTTGTATATGTTTGATATCTACTTGTGTGAACATAGTAGAAGACATCAAGGCTCACGTATTGATTCCCGTGGATACCTGTACGAGATTGTAGCTAACGGACGCAATTGCATTGATGTGGACAAGTTTGACTACCTTGCACGCGATATGCTCAATCTATTTGGTCTACGAAAAGTATTTGATTTCTCGCGGCTCACGATGTTCAACCACGTAATTGATAATGAGATATGCTACCACACGAGCGTCAATCTAGACATTTACGACATGTTTCAACAGCGCTATCAGATGCACAAACAGATTTACAACCATCGCAAGGGCAAGGCCGTCGAGCTCATGATATGTGACGCGATGCTTCTAGCAGACAAAGAATTGGGCATTTCTGCGGCCACGCAAACACCGCAGGACTTTCAGTTTCTTACAGACCACATCGTTCACGTACGCTATTCATGAAGTAACTCACCCATATGCAGGGAAGTGACATTGACGAGTAGCTGGTCTTTTGTGTGCTTTAGTCAATCGAAGCGTCCAAGTCCGATTCACTAGCCGATGCACGAGCATTACTCAAGCGCGTGCGTCGTCGCGAACTATACGAGTTCATCGATGAATACTTACTGCCGTCCGAGTTGATGTCACGCATCCCACGCTTTTCTGCCGAGGAATTAGCTACCCAAACATCCATTGATGGCGTAACACTGGACCCGGAAGATATCATCGTTTTTGATGGGCGACTGAACTACAACTCGAAGGACCGCAACCCTGTCGACAATGTCGCCTTTTACGCTTCCAGTGATCTCAACGTAAAGTTTCATATCCCGAAGGAGCAAGTGAGTTTGCTTTTTCCAGAAGAGGTAAGTCGCAGTACGCTGATACATGCACGAGAAAGCCGAATCTCAGATTGTGTGGCTTCAATGGCAGTTTGAGGAACGTGTTATCCGCGTCTACAGCCGCAACAAATCGTCCACAGTTCATGCTGCAATCCAAGTAGGGATGCCATACTTATTTTGTTGAAAAGCTCGCATGAATCTCATGGTCAAGCTATGGTTTCTCTGTGGTGCAGCACGCTTTTCATAGCTATTTACGCCAATTTAGCTCAACACTTCCTCCTCCTTCGCCATCTTCAAAGGTAGGTAATTGTTCTAATGGTCTTGTAGTAAATGGTCATTTGAACTAACCAAAAGCCATCGGTTGTGTAGCTTTACGGCAAACAAAATTCTGAGCGTGCTGTCCTCGAACAAAAAAGCAGTAACAAGTCTTCCAGGTATTTTACGTTCATGCATGGCTGTCATTTGAGGCTCTGAGCAGTTGATTAACCATTTTTACTGCTCACCAAATAGCACTGTCAGGTGTAACGATGTCATCTCAGGCCAGAAAGCGAACTAAACCTGCTTCAGACTGATACGGTGACCAACCTTTTCGATGTCACTCCCCGTAATTACACGGATCACTGAACTACTCAACGTACGTGATTGTATCGTAAGCGTCATCGTATTTTACCTTGCGAAGAGACGTGTAAGTCCGTTTTAACTTTCCGTTTAAGCCATATACTATGTTGCGAAAGCGTGAGGTGTTCTAATTGAGCAGAAGCAAGTGTAATGGTGGCAGCATCAATTCCAGTCGGAATCAGCAACGCTTTCTCATTCAGTATCAAAAAATTAATCGATAACTAATGCTAACAAGGGATTTGCATGAAGCTATTGCTCTCTGCGCTTGAAAATTCCTTGCCAACATCCAGCGGATGAATGCGGTTCTTTCAAAAATCCACTACATCATAGAGGACATAGTACAAGGAATGTCAAGATCCTTATCGTTATTGGTACATTTGGTGACAGTGATCGAGGTTATCGAGACTTGTTAACGATGATACTGACGGTAAAGGTGGGTTTGGCATCGATTTAAACCATGGAGCTGACTCCGCTGTATTCACGATAATCTGATGAGGTCGTTGCGTTAGAGCAATGTAAAGTCAAATATCGGAGACGCATGAATGAAACGGCTATCGGTACGGAGCGTGCGAGTTTCAGTGTCCTTGAGTTTATCAAGATGACAATGCACGATCGAATGCGAGTGATGACATTGTTCTAGAATGCACGGTCAATGTTATGGAATGTGGCAGCAGACGCTGATCGTCGTCAGGAGGTAACAACATCGGCCATGACCTTTGGCTTAGGCATACGTACATATCAATTCATGTGGCAAAAAACGGTAAGGACACGTCCAGATCACCGAAGGTCGTGGCGAATCGGACCAAAGCCGAACTTTCAAAAATGAGGAGCGACACGTACACCATGGTGGAAACAACCCTCTTCTCATTTCCACATGTGCCAACACGAAGCATATCATGGGTAGGTTCCAGCCACCTGCCGACCGTTCATTCATTATCTGGAGAAATGCTAGTGCTCAATGCGTAGCTTGGAAGTGGTTATGTATAGTAAGTACTAGCAAGCTGGTCAAGCCCAAAAGCGATCTGTTGATGAAGTGGTCCAGAACATATTCACTAGTCTAAGTGTGAGTCATCGTGAGTCACAGACACTGAAGAATGTTCACCAGGTGAACTGTCTACGATGTGATATTGGGGGGGACCATCAAGACTGATGCAATATTGTACAA